AAAACACTCACCCGTAAATTGTAATTTTTATAAATGATCTCCATTCCGATGAAATTATCAAAGAAAATCCAGGATGGTTCCAATTGAATAGATTGGGAATATCTGCATGAATATTTTTTTCGTTTGCTGGCTCCGTGAATCATTCACCTCGGTCACCAAATCACCAAATAACTGAAAATAAACAAAATGAACATAAGTAAAATTTCGTACAAACTTCAATGAAAATTATCTTGTAATAATACAGGTAGAAATATGTGCGCGGAGTATAAATTTATTAAAAGGTTTATTAAAAAAGGTATGGGTTACAACCCATTTCGTCGTATTTATTCCCACAGATCACATAAACTCATAAATTATCAATTTTTAAAATTATAGTATGTCAGACCATTTTTTTACACACAGATAATGTTTATATATCCAAACAAACAGACACAAAAAACGAACAAACAAAATATATTTTACCTGTTGTAAAAATGACCATGTCCACAAACGTTCCATAGACTCACACGTCCCATACCACATAGTAAACGCATCACGGTGGCTATGTACGGAATACTACTGGTAGCCAAAATCTTCCTGTGTACCATTTCAGTGATTCCGATTGGTTCAAAGACAGTTTGTTCGAAACCATCTTAAATGTGAAGGGGTACACATCAAAGCATATCACCAATAAATATCTGCAATAAAAAAACGACCCAATTAGTAAAAAGGAAAGACAATTTTATTAAAAGAAAATGTTTTACTTACCAAAACAAAAAACAAATCATTTCTTATGGTATCATGACCATCATAATTGTCTACATATTTCACACAAACCCAAAGAGGAATGTACCTGAAAGAAAAGAAAACAATTTTAAATTATTCAGCACATCAACAAACATTTTCTAACTTCTTACCTGAATATGCAGTCTAAGCATCACCTTTAGCAACAAATTGTATGAATGTTTTGTCGCCAAGCACAGACTTTTCCACTGGTTGTAGGGCCATAAACAAAGGTCCAAACTACCTGAGGTGTTCCATTATGTTAACAGAATTATAAAAATCAATTTTCTAAAAATAAAGAAAATGAAAAAGGGTTGTAAAAATGTGTAAAAATTTATAGCAAAGATCTACTTACCAATGCTTAACATTCCGGAGAAGTTACGCCATTTTGACATCACATACATTGTGACGTACATAAATGTACAGCACATACATTGTGGTGTACATAAATGTAAACCGCATACATTTCTGCCAAGCCATAAAAATACCGCCAAAATGGATGTGTGTACCCATTCAAACAAATGAGACGGCATGAATGTACTTAATGGTTATGTGTGAATGAGTGGCCAGTGTAGCACACACACATATACAGGTAGTATTACCCACGCCACTTTTTATGTTACACACACACAGCCATGAATGATGGAACCCACGCCACTTTTGGCACCACACACGCACATTCAATTTTTGCACTAAAATATTTCTTATGGTTTTTCTGAAACAAGAAAAGAACAAAATCATTAATATACTTCAATAAATTGTTCAATTGTGAATGCTTACCTGTAGATTTGCGTCCCACGCCGGTTTCCATTTCCATGTATGCCCATTCCTCGTGGACACCAGGATTCCAAGGGCTGGTCGCCCATTCATTCATTTATATTCTCTCCTCACCGCAATTTTAAACAAACAAAAAAATATCATGCACATCACCATGTCCATCGATTCCTTGGCCATGTTGATGTTTTGTTGCATGTGAATATAATTTTTTGTTTTGTATAAAAATAAAAATAAAATACAAAAAAACACAACCTGGCAAATACAACCCTGTCAGCAAGAGGTAAGATAAAGGAAAAATGATAAATGTAGGAAAATGCCGAGAATCCCAGAAAAGTGGGAAAATGGTGTTATAAAAGGCTGCTCGAGAGACTATAATTTATAACAAATTTTCAAAACAAAGAAAACAAAAATCCCCAAGATAAACAAAAAAAATACCCAAAATTTATTAAGACTTGTGTTTGTTTTTTATTGTTGAGTGCCTTATGCCTGCGAGCGAACAAAATAAAGTAAGTAGTGTAATTCGGTAATATTTTATGTGTTTGAATGTTTGTGTTTTGTATAGATCTCGCCAACATCCTCATCAACGGAAAAGGCAAGCATTGGCCCCTCCAAGTCGTCGCACGGAGGAGGTCATCCGATTTTTATTTTGGGGCTTATTCGGCGAAAAAGATTTATGTGGCATGGTTTTAGCCGTAGAATAGTTGGCTGGAAGACGGTTAAGCCCAAAGTGAAGACAGCACGTCAACGCAAGCTTGGATGCAGTTGGCCAATAAATTGATTTGTCTGTCCGTCCAAAATGATCCTGGAAAATAAGTATCTGGAAACCAGGTAACCTTTGTCGAAATTTAAAATTGAGATACAAATGCCAATAGCCTGAGAAATCTGAAAGTAAAACAAAAAAATGAATTAGTAATCAAAGACCAAATTAAAAACAAGCAAATCACCAAATGAAAAAAAATTTTAAAAAAAACCAAACAAAAATATATTTACTAAATTTTAAGTGTTAGATTAAGTGTGTTATGTGTTAGTATTTAGTGATTAATATCTAAGATTTTAAAATTGTGAGAATTTTTAACGCCTAACAAATGCGACAAGTGTAGGGTTACCCCAAATATCTGATTGGAATTAGTGTTTTTGCCTATTTTGGGACCAAATGGTAATCTCCCCAATAACGACTTAAGAGAGCTCTTTTAGGTGAGGTAATAGTATAATAGAGTGGCCAGAAGGAGCCGTTTCAATAGATTGTGTGGGTAGTCTGAAACAGTGACTTATCGATAGTTTTAGGTGTTAGGAATTCAGAATATTGACTATGTGTTTATGTTAGGTTTAAGTAATCAAGAAATAATGAAATTAATAAATATTGTTTATGTGTAAATGTTTACATTAATATGAATTGCTAGTTGTTTTCTGTAAGGGAGGAAGATTGGACGATGTTGCAGTAAGGTGAGTGTGTGTGGAAACAGGGGCCCTTTAAAATTAGGTGTATATGAGGACGAAAAGGGTCAAGGTTGGGCGGGCGAAGTGCGGGAATAATTGTCACCAAATTCCCTCGTTATGGTCGTATGTGTGTTGTCATTTTGTATTGTTGTTTGTTGTTCTATTTCCGTTTTCCTTCTTGATTGTTCGACCCCTAGGGCTGATGGTGGTAGGGTTGGGAATTCACCCCTAAAGCGGTGCCCCGACTGAGCTGGTTGGAACCCCACCAGGAGCCGCAGTAGGCGGTACGCAACAAGTTCTTACTGAGTAAATTTTCCTTTTAAGAACTTGCAAATACTCAGTAACACAACAGTCAAATCTGCTCTCTCAATTCATTCTCTTTTACTGAACATTTGGGTAAACGATTGTTCAGATGATAACAGGCCACTGTAGAATAAGGTTTCTCATTTACAAGTGTGAAATCAATAAATTGGCAGATACAAGATTTATAATCCGACCTTTTTCTCTGATATAAATAGATATAGACCATCATTTACAGCTTTGTGAAATGGTGATGGCCGAGTTATCAAACCTAACCTAAAACCCCTCCTTTTTTAACGCTGTTTACATCCCTCTACGTTTCTCTTTATTATATTTATTTCAGGATGAAAACACAATGAGCCACTACTGGTCTTCTGAAGAAATTCCTAATATTGCAACATTAATCTGTCGGTCGGATCCTTTAAGGTTACTCTGAAAAAATACATCGACCAATATGTTCAGCGGGAATTTAATTTCAGCCATCGAGGTGGTGAACAGTATAGCGTCGACTTTGTTGTGGATATTTTCATATTCCTCAGATGGAAGATATTTTCGAGATCAGCTATGTAGAAATTTAACCTCTCGCAAATGTCATCAATAATGGGACCCAATGTCATGATCGTACAATCATCCGCATACATTACGATCTCTATGCCGGCCGGTGGTTGTGTGGAATATCCTTGGGAACTCCCTGTTTCACCCTACGGGGTTTAGACTTGATCCAACGTTCGGAGATTTCTCTTTTCTATGTCCTCGAACAGTTAAGCATGGTTGACGTTATCGAAGGCTTTCGATAGGTCAAGTGCCACCAAAAATGCTAATATATATGGACATGGCGTGTAATAATGACTTTTGGAATCCATGCTAATGTTGGACAACTGGAAAACTTCTCAGCGATGGGAGGAATGGCGCTTCAAGTGTCTTTGCTACTGGTGACAGGAGTGAAATCGGTCTGTCAGCGATAACTACAAGTTGACGGCTGATGTTAAATACACAACTCCGTAATTTCTACTTGAATTCAATGTGCAATATTGCCAACCATATGAAATATTATAAGGAAAAATTTGGCAGAAGGTCGAGACAAAGACAAAGGTTTTTGTTTTGATACATCTCTTTATTATTGCATTATGGTCAGCTGTTTTCCCTCAAGTCTAATGTCAAAAATATGGCTTTTGTTTACGTTTTCATTCAATCATTTTTTTGACGGCAAACTTAAGAGGCATCTGGTATCAAACTGGTCTCCCCGGACGACCTTAAGGGCTCAGCAGAATGCTCGCGTTGAGCCATCCCTCGCGTTATATGTTATCGAAAATAGCATTCAGCTTAGCCCTATTATTATTATTTATAGACCTTGATGTGAAGTATGAATTTGAAATGCCGGTTGGCAACGCCGCCAATATGTCAAACTATTGAGGGGGTCACACATGTCCTCGAGTATGTTTACATTTTCGATTCGACCAGCTTATTTACCGAGTGTTAATTTAGAGTGTTCACTGTATTTATAAAGAAAATCGAAATTCGATTTTGCGAAGTCGTTATTCAAGTCTGATGACATGAATTAAAGTAATGTTGTGTGAACGGGTGAATTCATGTACAACGCTGTTCAAATTCCCGTCAGAACATGGCATTAGACTTATCACTACAAAAACTCGATTAATCGATTAGTCGAAAATCGATTTACATATCCCTAAAATTCAAATTCACATGTATCCGAGTATTAGTATTTTTTGTCATTCATTTGTGTTCAAGAGTCCGCGCTGTACAAATCGAAATCAAATTCAAAAACATGGGTATTCCAGCTGGTGATGTTGAAAAGGGCAAGAAACTCTTCGTCCAACGTTGTGCCCAATGCCACACTGTCGAAGCTGGCGGTAAACACAAAGTAGGTCCCAATTTGAACGGTTTGTTCGGCCGCAAGACTGGTCAAGCTGTCGGATTCGCCTACACAGATGCCAACAAATCCAAGGGCATCACCTGGAATGAAGACACCTTGTTCGAATACTTGGAAAACCCCAAGAAATATATTCCCGGCACCAAGATGATCTTCGCTGGTTTGAAGAAGCCCGGTGATCGCGCTGACCTCATTGCTTACCTGAAATCCGCTACCGCCTAAGCCGTTTCATTCATTCATCGACAAAACACAAATTATAATTTATGTATAACTAAATTTAAATCAATTATTAAAAAAACCAATATTAAAAATAAACATTAATTTTTAGTTAATGTAAATTTAAATTATTATTGTGTGAACTGTGGAAATGAAGAGCAGCAGAGTGTGTTAGCAACATAGAAAAAAAAACAATAGAATAAACGAATTCATTACCTCACATTTACCAAACACAAAAGAAAAAGTCGAGATTTTTCATTTCTTCTTGGTGGTGGCTTATCTTGGGGCTTTTACGTAACGAAAGTGTGACTCGTGGTGTATGGATGGTATGGTGAACCTACCCCTTGCCGTTGTCGCTATTATGGACTACCCTCCCCCATTCCATAGGCAGTGTTATACAGACACACACACTCAGCCACAAATACATGGATATACTTTTATCACCCTCAACGTGTATCAGAAAAATATTTCCGTAAGTTTGAAGTTCAAATTCATAGACAGAATATACAACGTCACGTGTGATGACGACGACTACCACTACTATATAGCACAAAAACAACAACCTGGAAGAAATTGCGAGATGTTTTGTATGAAAAATATAATCAAGATACAATGGAGCGGAGCATCATGGTCATTATGATGATTTAGAATTCTATACATAACTTGTATGGAACTGGTGAAATTATTAGTGAAGGTTGTTGGCTGGCTGTCTGGTGACTGTTTTGTGACGTTTTTGCTTTTACGCTACGCTTTTGTTTGCTAGGCAACAAAAAAGTACCTCACACCGAACCGATTAAAAAAAAGCTCACTGCCAGTTGTTGGAATATTTTTATTCTAACGTTTTGTTGTTTTTTTTTTCTTTCATGGAGAGAAGGCATTGACATTATTTTATGATTTCCTCTACTGATTTCAAATCTACAAAACTGTAACTCTTCCTCAGAGATTACTATTTAGGAAGTAATCATAGGAAGAATTTTCAATAAATATATTTTCCAGCAACGAAAAAAATTTGTTTATGTAAGCAATTTTTTGTTTTAGCTGAAGTTGCGCAATACAGAAACGAAAAAGCATTCTCGGCGTTTGTGTGTGTGCGTTTTCATGGAAAACTTTTTTATTAGCCATTGATTGCATCATATGTATTTAGAACAAACGATTTTTTAGTATTCAAGGTTCGAATATTGCACTTGACATTTTGGTTGGGGATTTTTCTTATTTATGAAAAATGGAAAATTGTTATTTTTTGCGGAATAACCATTGGTCGCATTTAAAGTTTAGATAGGATTGATTATTTAATAAGGGGAGAATCTTACAAATTGTGTGGTAAAAAATCGATAGACCTCAGATATTTTCATATTTTTTAAATTTTCATCCCATTGCAAATACATTTTTTTAGTCAGAAGTCTATTGTTAAAATATTGGAAATACATTTTCATCCTTTTCGTGTAAAACGAAAAAAAACTTCAGCTCCTCACATATTTTTATTTGTTTTTGCATAAACAACAAACAACAATTGGTTTCTAAAATTTCTTTTAATTTTTCCTATTTTGGATATATTTCGAAGAATAGATTCTAAAAATAAATCCTTCACCACAATAAGTTGGCCGCCAATATTATTGTTAAGCATATCCTAATTGAATGTTGGTTTCCTGTAACCCAATGCCGAACAAGTCTCCCTGATAAGCCCATACTGTCTGAGATATGAGTCTCCAAAATTCTGCGGGATCCTTCTTCAATTCTGAAAAATAATTGGTCTGTTCCCGTACTGCAAGAATCTACTACTTTTTACTACGATAACGAATTTTCCTTTATGATATCGAAGAAAATAGTACAATCTAGTAGATTCTTGTAGTACGGGAACAGACCAAATATGGGTGTTTGTGGGTAGCAGGCCTTTGGCCGGGGTTTAAAAGTTTCTTCTAGTCTGATTTCATAAATTAGTAATGGCAACCCTTTTTAATTTGGAACCCAACTGTATATTTTCTAAAGATTTTAAGTATTTTATTATGGACAATTCGGCGATTTAAGACTTTCTCCCATGGACAGGTGGAAACTCCGGCTACGCAACCGAATCTCCTTTTAATTTGAATAGTGTAGAATAGTTATATGTACCCATATTGCCTCAGTACATTTTAAAATTCATGAGAAAATACAAGGAGGCCCATATCTCCGGAAATACCGATTGAAGTTATTTGTATTTGTCTGGTCGAAGTCCAAACTTCCCGAATTTTGGAGTTTGGTAATTCTGCGTTTTCTTAGTAATCTAAACCTTTTTTCGAAGAAGTCAATACTTCCTGATAAAATTGTCTTTATCAGGAGAAACATTAATTGATGGATCTTCGTGATTTGGAAGGCAGCTGAATTGATTAAAAGTCTGGATGCAGAGATCGTTGAACCGGTGACTATTTTTAGGCGACTTTTAAAGCCATTAAATCCTGTAACATCAAGTCTGCGGTCGTCCTCGAGTGTAGAGCAGTTTTAGAAACTCTCAATCTACAGATCTAGCAATCGATGACACAATTTTACCACCAATCTGTCATTTTTTTTTTTTTTTTTTTTGAGGCGTTATTTGACAAACGAGTCAATGAACTTTGGCACAACGAACCTAGGTACAATGTGTCAAGATAACTCGAGACCCCTAATAGTCACTGTCGTCTATCTCCCTTATGAGGCTCCTGACCCACCATATTAGATCCTATTCTTAGATAAAATCTTAGGATATGTAATAGGCGACGTTTACAAGAACAATTCAATAGGTATTTTGTAATCTAGAAGGCTAAACGTGAGTCTTGGGTTTGCTATAGCGAGTTAATCGAAGGTGTAAATGAAGCAGCCAGTTTTCGCAGATTAACATCTAAAGATTCAAAATCTGTAGGTAGTATTAAGCGAAACGATGGGACGTGGACAAACTCCACCAGAGAGGCTGGTTGTATGGGCCGTAACTACGAAGTGCGTAATTTTTATTTAGTTATTTTTTGATATTTCGAAATTCCTAGAGTGCCATCCTCAGGGAAATTGCCGTCTACAATAAACTATTTAAAAAAAAAACATCAACAGATTTCAAAAAATCCCGAGATGAACCCCCTAAGCTCAATTTTCTCCAGAGATATTACCTTAACGAGATTTGAGATAATGGTCGAACCAAATTTACCTCATAAAGTTAAATATATTTTATACTAATAGTCTTGCCAAATAAACATATTAGCCAACACTTCATTATTACAATATTCTAGAATCATTATGTTTAACTTCTCCAAACACGCTTCGGTGTGTTTGTTTTCTTTCTACTCTACATAACTTTGAAAACTATTTAGCACTGTTAAAATCGCCAGGCAATGGTAATGAGCAAATTTTCCCATAACCACTTTTCTATGATGGATTAATTACTCAACAGAGCTTATTAGAACTATTTGGAATTATTATATATTTCCCAATGATTATATCATTGATTACCAAACAATCGTCTAATACTGCAATGGAGACAAAACAAAATTCACTAACAATTTTACAACAATAACAAAAAAGGTAGATAAGATAAAACTTTTGCAGGGCTAAACTATAGAGATAAGAATTTTCAAATGACTGGCACTAGTCTCCAAAGGAAAATATTGTGAACATTAGAAAATGTATTAAAAATCATTATTTTTTTGTAATATTATTTTAGATTTAAAAAATAACAAAATAAATATATTATTATATCAGTTTTGTTATATATTATATCAGCTGATTCCATATTAATTTACCCGACAAGGTCATATACCTCGCTTTCTATTAATAATTGTTTGTAAATAAATTGTTTTCACAACATTAGATGTGCTAACTATTTTTTACATTTGCCTATTATTTACATTACATACAGTGTGTGTGTGTGCGTGTATGTAATATATATATTACTCGAAACATAGACTATTGAATATATAGACAACAAAGTGCTATTATCACTGAATGTGTCCAAATTGAGTTTGTTCAAGTGGAATATTAAGTTTTAAACGGAAATGTCTTCTCAGTAATTTATTGTGATAAAAAACTTAATTTGGTTTTTTATTTATTAAAATATTAAATTATTATTACATTTATAGTTTGATTATCCGTTTTAAGCAAGTTGGGTAGCCTATATTTCTCAAATGTCTATTCCAATCAATTTAAACACCACCTAAGTTCTAACTCGCTAAATAACCTCAAATAAGTTTTAAAATAAATTTGTAATACGTTTCCACAATAAGAAGAATATTTGATTAGAAATAAAATAAATAACGCCTTATTCAAAATGTGGGAAAGTGTTGCCAACTTCTTAATAATCACTCTATATCATGAGATGGTGTTATTACTACAAAGTGAAGCAGTTTCTTATTGCTTGTATATGGTTAGTGGCGACACTTCAAACTGTGGAAATTATTTTCAATTTTCCCTTTTTTACGATTTGCTACATAGAGTACGAGAACAAATAAATGTTTTTTAATTGTATATATTTGTACAAGAACATAAACGTACAAGAACCTTACTACCGTACAAAAAACTGCAACTGTGAATATTGCAGAAGCAGACATTCGAATTCTGCTTCTTGATCTCAACAAACTGCATGCTGTAGGCTTTGCAAAAAATTGTTCACTATATTCAGACACGGCTGCATATTTTCTTGATCAGGAGAAACCGATTTATTTAAGAACGTCGTGATTGCAAAACACGTACAGACTATGGATGTACAGTCGAAATTGTTTATAACGACATATCGGATATAACGACTGTATCCAAAAGTCCCGAAAATAGTCATATCAGATATAACGACTGTATCCAAAAGTCCCGAGAATAGTCATACCCTTTATGTCGGAAATCCCGACAATAGTCATATCATATATAACGACTGTATCCAAAAGTCACGAGAATAGTCATACCCTTCATATCGGATATAACGACTGTATCCAAAAGTCCCGAGAATAGTCATACCCTTCATTTGATATTGTTTTAACGACATATCGCTTACAGTGACTAATTTTGGCGGTACCTTGGACGTCGTCATAACCGATTTCGACTGTCATTTAAAATTTTGGGCTCAGATTGCGTAACAAAAAACTCATAAACTATATCAATATATTTCGACATTTTGAGGATGTCGTATATATTTTCCAACCAACTTGGATTTAATTTGATATATTAGATTCTCCTTGGTATGCAAGCATCGCCACCAACAAACATGGCATGTTATGTTGGCATGGTATAACGGGATATCAGAGTTACATTAAGCAAAGTCCTCTTATGTGTTTCCCCGTTTAATTTAATATTGGTTATAAAGAAAATCTACATAACAATTGGACAGTTCCCGTACTGCAAAAATCTACTACTTCTTATTACGATAACGAATTTTCCTTTAGTATATCGAAGGAAATAGTAAAATCTAGTAGATTCTGGCGGTAGGTAACAGACCAATAAATAGTCTATGCTGTTAAGAGAATTTTAGACACGTTTTCCAATTGGATATTTTCGATTTTAATAGCGTTGCAATTCTTGAAAGAAAACATACTAATTGGTCCGTTCCCATACTGCAAGAATCTACAAATTTGTTCGATGGCATAAAGAAAAAATTGTGATAGTAGTAAATTGACGCCAATGAAGTCCTGCCTATCGTGTCATTGTCAATTTTAAGACTTATGACACATTTACAAGTTTAGTGTGTTAATTTTATATAGGTTATGTAGAAAAACTCCCTACCAATAATAGTCTATACTATTAAGACAATTTTAGAAATGCTTTCCAAGTCCATATTTTCAATTTTAATGGTATTGCATATCCGATATAAACGACATGTACATTATAACTTTTTGAAGGGTTAATCGTCTTTATGAGGATTTATTTGACAAATATGTAAGGGAATTGAAAATTTATACCCACTGGGTTAACATAATCCGGAGATTCTCCGGATTTCCCTAACAATAGCTTTGGCCTACGATTAAACATTGGTCTGTTCCCGTACTGCAAGAATCTACTATTTTTTACTCCGATAACACTTTTTTCCTTTATGATATCGAAGAAGATAGTAAAATCGAGTAGATTCTTGCAGTACGGGAACAGACCACATATTATTCTTGGAGTTTCCCTCCAATTTTGCTCCAAAATTCTTATTTCTGGACTAGAAAATTTCCCTGAAAAATATTTATTCACCCCCATTCATAACCATTCTGCTCTCATTGATGTATCGCCAGGAGGCTTGTTTCGATAAAAAGAAAATCGATTCGTATTGTATATATCGGCGTCGCCTTTCTGTTATCGAGTTTACAGTAGCAGAAGGAAAAAAATCTCAGTCTGCAAACCGAAGGCTGCGCATAAAATCTTCATTCATTATTAACTTGGGGTTCGTACTGTAAAAGTGTGAAAATTTTATAAAACTTCTAAGAGTAGAAAATGGAACGTTGAATAAAATACATTTTATAAAAAGTGGACTAACTAATCTAAATTGTCGTTTAATCAAAAACCACCCCAAAGGAAGTTGCCAATCAAATAGCTGGTTGGCAAACTATTTGCATTTGTTTGTGTGTGTGCGAGTGTAACGAAGCAAAGCAGAGTCAACAAAGTTGAATAGAATCGTGCGTTCAATATACATACAGAAAAGATGGCCACCACAGCCTCATCCTCCGATATACCCAGTACCAATGAACGCCATTATTATGCAAAGCTTGAAGCCATCAAAGATATACGAGACAAAACTTTATCGCTGGAAAAGTTGAAGGTACGAATAATTCGTGAGGTGAAGCTAAGCGACGATGAGGAAAAATGTCTGGAAGAATATCGCAAAGAATTGGAACATTTGCTGGAGGAGAAAATGTCTCATGTGGAGGAGTTAAGACAAATACATGCCGACATCAATGACATGGAGAATATCATCAAACAGACAAAGGATAATCAGACACGCTCTGTGGACATGGCCAATCGCCACTATGAAGATTATCTAGCACTGAAATATCAAATCGACCACATGCGGCGTGAATATTTAGGTCTGAGTCCATTGCGCGATTTACATGAAGAAGAGGGCAGCCCAATATCGAAGGATCGTTTTCAGAGTAATTTCTTAAAGGTGGCAGCTCAAAATGCATCACAGTCTTCTTCGCTGGCCAGACCACACCCTAGACATCCATTGATGTCAGAGTCGGCAGTAGCAGCACTGCCACCCTCTGCACCAAGTGGGGCGACATCGGGGCCGCCACCACCCACAGGCGGTCATGCGTTTATGCCACCCGCCCCGCCAGGTACTGGCCAGAGTCCTGCATCGGCTGTACGTCTTGGTAAAGGTGATTTCTCAGCGCCTCCACCTCCTCCCCCGCCCTCGAGTCGTCTACAGCAAACACCGTCAATTGGTTTGGGCCATCACCCCACATTTCGTTCAGATTTCAATGTGAATTTGCGACAACAGCCACCGCCAATGAAGTCCTGCCTATCGTGTCATCAACAAATTCATCGCAACGCTCCCATTTGTCCATTGTGCAAAGCTAAATCGCGTTCACGTAATCCCAAGAAGCCTAAAAAGAAAACCAATTAAGGCGGCGTATGCGAGAGTGCGTTTAAGGACATTGCTGCAAACTAATGTAAGTGGACTGAGTCTCTGTGTATAAGTACATTTTTGGTATTTGAAAAAAAAAACAGGGTATAAACTCTGCTAGGGGTAAGCTTGTTAAGAAAAGTACACAAAAATTCTGTATTTTTTTCAAAATTTTTATAAAATAATATTTTTTTTAATATCTTGCCATTATTTATAACACAGTTTAATGTATTTTTTTTTATAACAACAGTATTCATTTATATGCCTAAGTTATGAAAATGTATAGCATCTTTTCTTGCCAAGCATTCTTGTTGATAGAAAAGGGGATGAAAAAGAAGTATGTCTGCATATTGCTATATAATGGGATTAGTCATAAATATACATACAAACTCACACATACACGAACATCCATGATGTATATAAATAACTTTGGAAATCACGTTTTGTTGGCTTCACAAAGGATATTGATACATATGTACATCAAAAATTGTATTTTATCGTAGCCTACTTTTAGGCGGCATTGTTTCTCATAAATTGAACTTGGATGATATGTTATATGCTATTCGAATTTGTCGCAGTTAAATGTCAGCATCCATTATGAATTTTGATTTTAGGACAATTATGTAGTAGTAGGTATCAACTCCTCATTTAAAAAAAAATATGCCAAATGAGAAGGGTCTTCCTGAAAGTTTTATTGGGCTCCAGTGAATCACATCTCGGGGGTCAAAATACATACCTTGTTCCACTCTAGAAGAGTACGTGATGGAGGCCCGAGGGAGTTAAGTTTTACTGTTATCTCTTTCCATCCATCATCCACTAATTTTTTTTTGTCTCCAAACCCTTGCTATAAAATCCTTCGTCATTATCAGAACCTGTTTTAATCTTCGATTTTAACTTAAGTATTTATTATTTCCTTTCTACACGAAATACGCACCATTTTCTGATTGGTAATTATATTATGCCGTCACAGAGGTCAGCCATTGTCGCATCTAAGTTGCCCTTAAATATGTTTCAGATATTGATCCAAAAATCAGATATTGATAGGATGAACAACTGAATACACACTTACCATTACATAGAAACTTCTTGGAGGAATTTTTATATACTTCTAATATCTATTGTACTATTAAAAATAATGTTATTCCACTAATATTTATTCGAATAACAAGGTAACCAAAGTCATCTTCATTTATATATATTTACCAATATATGGTTGTATCTCTATAATGACATCACTATGAAATTTCGAGAAGGAATTCGGATATCCTTCTCGTATCTATGTCGCTGTTTCAAATAATGTTATTCCTCTAATATTTATTCCAATAACAAGGTAACCAAAGTCATCTTCATTTATATGAATTAAAAAGGTTTTTCCTTTTTTGATTTTTAGAAAATGGGGACGTGCTTTAAGCACGTCTTGCTTTATTCACCTCAAAATGTGAATACTCATTATTTTATAATTGTATTTATTGTTGGGCTGCATTCCCGGTGATTAAGAACTTCCACAATGAAACACAAGTCATAGCCTCATGCAACATGATATGCTTTGTTGGGTTTGAGTTTGATGGTTCTCACGGATTTGCATGGTGGACACATTATAAATCATATTTATATAAGAAAGTTGAAAATATTTTTTTTTTTTTTTTTTTGTAATGACTTTCAATCCGCATTTCTATAGCCTCCATCTGAAATATCCAACATAAATTGTATTTTATTATTGATATGATTATTCCACATTATGTCAAATCTAATATCAAGTAGGACCAAATGCATTGTCTAATTACTATTGCCATATAAATAGCAATCTATTATTAACAGCATACAAAATATAACGACAGTTTTAGTTTCACTTTAAATTGTCGGTTCAACAATTCTCAATAAGACTGGTCTTTAAGTTATATTGGACAAGAAGACAGACAATAATAGTGTGCAATTTGTCGACGCACACTATAATTTTATTATTATTACTACTAAAATGATTACTCCATTAAAATATAGTATTCGATTGGAAATTGTAAAGACAGTAAAATGAGTTCATTTTCCAAAAATCTTTATGAAATCGTGCAAGTAAGCACTTAGAACCTCTTTAGAATGGTAATTAAAATATAACATATGATTATGTTATATATTACAAAATAAAAAAATAAATATTTAATATTGATTTGATTATTCCATTCATATTTATTTCGCATTTTAGAATATTATTACTTGAAAATCTACGCAGATATTTGAACCTGTCCAGAACGGGTTAATTAGTCAAAGTTACGATAGAAAACATTAAAATGTAATTTAAAAACCAAATATAAATTGATCATCGGCATATATCGTTTGTAAACATTATGCCGATACATCTTACAAAATTTTTCAGAAACAAAAATATTTTTAAAAATATTGATATACTACAACTTATCATCTAGTATTAGAGTATAATTACTTGAAAATCTACGCACAGCATTGCAATTTTGCTCAAGTACTAAATTAAAACGATTAGCATTGTTTTAATAACCCTAATATTATTATTATATTATTAGTATTTCCATAAAACAGTATATCTATTAAATGATTATTCCACTTTTAAATCTCACACATAAAAGTACCACAACATTTAATTCCACTACGTTTGCAATCATATCATACTCTATATAATTTGAAATATCAAAATGCTTTCATTGCATTTTGATCTTGTCTTGATATATATATATATATATATATATATATTAACTTAATTTATATAGTAACAAGCTAAAAAAACTACAAACAGTAAAAAAATGTTATTCATTTTCAAATGATCTATCAACATTTATTATTCCACTACAAATATATAGATTTTAATATGAGAAATCTATTTTGCATTAGATGAGAAAATTGGTTCGATTCTAAATACATTATTTTTTACGCAATTCAAACGCAATAAATTATTTTTTAGTCTAAAACGTTCCATACTTTAGTTTTTGATCGTCTGATAAAAAAAATCGACTGTCTCAACCATCATTACAGGGTAATGCCGGGTCAACGCAAATGCAGCGTTTTTTGTGGATTTGTTTTTTTAATCATCCAAAACAAATCCCTAACAACCTACTAGATTTTTTTATTAAAGCCAATTTATCGACTTATCTCGTTTATATGCTAAATATTATCAGTATTTTACTTCCTTAACATATTTGATAAAATAGACCCACAGTACAATGTAGAATATTGTGGACCTATTTTATAAATTTTACTAAAATTTGCAAACTGCCTAGGCAAACTGACTAGGACCTATTTTATAAATTTTATTAAAATTTGCAAACTTTCAAACACCAACTAATAAGGCAAATATTTAATATTTTATTGAAACAATACTGTATATAGTATTAAAACAATACAATATATCCCAATCGTCAATATTAACTAATATATGAACGAATATACTCATTCATTTCACTTCTACTATTTTCCATTAATTTGAAATATGTATTTTTTGATTTTGAACCAGTGAGCGGGAGCAGTATATTCGGACAGGGCCGACCATAAGCTACCCTACACAACAACAACGAAAATCTTACTTTTTGTGGTTCTATATTCTCAGCCTGGGCAAAATTTCGAAATATTTGCACCCTCTTGGTCACAGTGGCATATTTTCCCGAGGTGAATATTTACGCCATAAAACAAAAATTTCGTCACTTTAGGTTTTGGTTGATTTGACCCACGGTATCTTGACCGATCATTATCTAAACAGATGTCTTGGTATACTAAAAAATAGATTCCGATCCATAGTTGGGCCTCGGGGACTACATTGTGAAAGCAGAAAAGCTGTTCAAATAGTTAATGCGTGTTGTGCGCTACATAATATATGTATATTTTATAAATGTGAAATAGAAGAAACAGAAGTGGCAGAAAGGGAATTCGCAGATGATACAAGAGCCATATCTATTAGAAGAATCATGTTACGAGCGAGTCAATACTGTAAACAGGATTAACCATATAGTTACGACAATCTAGAGTACAGGGCATGTTATACGTTTTATTTGGCTAGCTCTGCCGTGGCAAGTTCACTGTATCCCCGGGTTATCGCTTTGTAACATAGGAGTTTTACATGCCTAATAAATCAAACCACATCAATAAAAAAAATCAAAAAAAAAAAAACACATGAAATTGGCCAGGGAAAACTAACCTCCTCAACTCATTTGTGACTGCTGTAGTTGTCATATGGAGTGTATTTTTTTCGCCCTAAAAGTACGCACGTGGTAACGTACACACTCACCATTTTACCGTTACCTCAAAATACCGTTACACCGCACAGCACATGGTCCAACTACTCTCTCCCCAAAATAATATTAATTTAGATTTTCATTTTAATTATACAAAAATTTATTATTTATAATAGTATTATATATTATATTCATACTTAATAGCTACTTACAACTAATTCTTAAAACTAAATCTGGCATTACAGTTGTTGATGATGACTGATGATGGTCCACCTTATTGTTGTTGGCATTTGCTGGTTTTCCGTTATTGTAGATGCTGTATGTTGTTGATATATTGTAAAGTTGTTGTAATAGATGTCATTTATTATGGTTATTTTACTCGGGCAACGATTTTATTGAATAGTTTTTTCATTTGTAATTTAGTAAGATTCATTATTATAATTGTATTTTTATTAGGTTTTTATTTATTTTGCAAAACTGTACATTTTTCTTTTAATTTTTAATTTAGATTTCATTCTTTTAGTTTGCCAAAACAGTACACGATTCTTTTAATTTTTAATTTAGTATTACATTTAGTTTGCCAAAACTGTACATGATTTTTTCCATTTTAATTTAGTTTTCGTGGTTTTTTTTTTTTTTTTTTATTTTTTGCCAAAGCCGAAACGGTTTTTATGTGCAAACTGTACACTATTCTTTAATTTAGTTTTCGTTTTAATTTGCCAAAACTGTATGCAATTCTTTTAATTTTAGTTTAGTTTTCAGGGTTTTATTTGCAAACTGTACACTGTTCTTTTAATTTAGTTTTCATTTTAAC